GGGGAATTAGGGGAGGGAACAGCATTGGGGAATTGGGGAAGGGGAACAGACAAGTTGCTGTCCTTTTGTTCTTCAGTCTAGTTGTGGAGGACGTCGCCTCACTGGCCCATGTTGGTATTATGATCATTGCGCTCTTCCTGGGTGAGGCATTCGCTCGCCGGCCATCCAATGGCAGCTCACACTGGCTGCCGGCCACCCACGGTAGCTCACGGCAGCCCACTGCAGCCCACTGCAGTAAGGGCTGCACCCTATGCTGTCGCTGGTGACTCACAGCAGTCCAACTCCAGGTCGAGCTATTGTTCGCCATCTTAGCTGTAGAGGGTGCAGCGTCACTGGCCCATGTGGGATCCGAACCTGCGGCCAGGCTGCTCAGAGTTCACGCTCCCAAGCCAACTCTTAACCAATGAGCCACTTGGCTAGCCCTTCAGTGTTTTTTTTTCCCCCCTCCCATACCAGGGCATTTGAGACAGGATCTTCCCCCCACCCCCACCCCACATACACTGTTATACATGCTCCCTACCTTATTCCTGTGCTTCACCTGGGCTGAAACCACTTTTCAACCCGAGGCCAGGCTGGAGTCCTGATTGGCAACAGCAATTCACCGTCTAACTTTGGACTAGTCACATTACATCCCTGGCCTTGTTTTCTCACTGTAAAATCAGGATTTTCTTTTCAGACATTTTATAATTATGTTGGAGAGAGGCATTGAAGATGGAGATGCAACTCATGAGAGCGGCATTCCCAAAGTGTTTTCTGTGGAACACTGGTTTCTTGAGATGTTAATAGGTATTCTGAGAGGGGGGAAAAACAAGTATTTTAGACTAAATAGGTTTAGGAAATACTGCATTTCATAGTCCTTTCTTGGTGATTCACAATGCGCTTTAGCTTATTAGAGACTCTTGAAATTTTCTTAAACTTATTGGAACATAGAAATCCTTTTTTAGAACACCCGTTAACGTGTCATAAAGCTGGTGTTTCTCAGAAACTCTGTTTGAGAAATATTGCATTAGACCATCATCACCCATGACCATCATAGCAGGAATTGCTTTCTAAATTCACTAGATTCTATAATACTTAAAGGAATGGGTCATAGATAAGCTTTAATGGGATAAAGATGTGAGAGATGGGAGAAAGGTGAGAGGGGCTCCCACGGTGCTGAAGGGACTTTGGGAAACCGAAGAAGCAGTGCAGACCATAGACCCTGGGAGAATGAGGTTGCAGGACCAACTGTGTCATAGTCACGTGTTCCAGTTTCCTGTCAGCCCCTGCCCTCCAGCACTCCCAACCCTGTTATTCTTATTCTTCTCTAGCGCGTTCCACCTTCTGATATCCTGTATTGTTTGTGAATTGTGTTTATTGTTTGTCCTTCTCCCGCCACTGGAACATGAGCCCTATGGAGGAAAGGATCTTTGTTAACTGATGTGTCCCAAACCCCTAGAACAGAGCCTGGCACAGAATAGGTCCTCATAATCATTTATTGTTGAATTGGGGCTAGAAAAAGATCAACAGTGCCCTCCATGACCTTTTGTCACACCTGGTCTTCTGTGGACCCAGGATAACCTTTAACCTTAGGAGGTGGGGGTAAGCAGGATAGTGGCTGGGAGCCTCACTCCAGAGCCTAAGGGCCTTTGTGAGATTCTCAGCCCCGTGGGTGCTACTGTGTGTGACCTCAGGCAGGTTCCTTAAAACCTTGCCTGCTACATAAGTAAGTGCTGTGTTTTTTAGCTTAATTAATATTACAGCTACTTCATTGCATGCCATGTTCTAGCTATTGTTGCTGCTGGATTTCCCCCCTGAAATTTCGTTAAATTCTTTTTTTCTTCCTCCTCCAAGTTATTGCCAAAGTAGCAAAAGGATGAGATAATGCATGGTTGTTTTAAAATGCATAACTATCAATTACTTATCAAACTAACACAGGTCTCAGAAAGGCAGAGACTGTAGATAAAAGCAGTATTGAGGCAGAGAAAAAAAAAGAAAAGAGGCAAACTAAATAGAAACTATTCCCAATGATTTTTTCTTTTTGTCTTTGGCAGAGCCATTTAAAATGAGTTGCATGGCCAGTATGACTATAATTTAATAGTCTAAGGAAACTCATTCTGTTTCCCTTAAGCATGAAGACTGCAGATATCATTTATTTCAAGTCAGAGTTGTTATTACTTCAGTGTGCTGAAAGTATATAATGTTGGTTCCCAATGGGCTCTCATTATTTCATTGATTGTTTCATACTCATTATCTCTTGTGTGTACCTAGAGGCAGGAGATGTTTTTCTTTCTTTCTTTTTTTTTTTTTAAAGATTTTAAAAAAATTTTTTATTGGGGAATTGGGGGGGATGGGAACAGTGCTGGGGAATTGGGGGAAAAGGAACAGACAAGTTGCTGTCGTTTTGTTCTTCAATCTAGTTGTGGAGGACGCTGCTTCACTGGCCCAAGTTGGCACCATCATTGCGCTCTTCCCCGGCGAGGCAGACCAGTCGCCGGCTTCTGGACGGCCGCTCACTGTGGCTGCTGGCCACTCACGCTGGCTGTTGGCTACACACGGTAGCCCATGGCAACCCACTGCCACAGGGACTGCAGCCTAAGCCGTCGCCGGCGACTCATGGATGCTCAGCTCCAGGTTGAGCTGTTGTTCAGCATCTTAGCTGTAGAGGGCAGTGTCACTGGCCCTCATATGTGGGATCCGAACTGGGGCCCGCTGGCATCCCAAGCGAGTTCTTAACCATCGCGCCACTCGGCCGGCCCCTGGTTTTCTTTTTTATATATGGGACAGTGAAATATGATTAATGTCAGATGTTTTACAGCATGTTCTTCTTTTTACAGAGGTGCAGTTCTGCTGAGTTTGGTGAGTGGATTGATGCTTTCAACTTGTTCATGGTTTCCGGGTACCAGTTTAATCTGGTGGGTTACAGGTATGTAGTGTTTACCTGCCGATATGTCAGTCATTCAGCTTGCTTGACCAATTTACTTGCAAGCGTGTGCACCTGGACTGGAAGTAGATGTCCAGCCATACAAATATGTGCTGTTGCCAAATGGGCTATTAAAACCAGCTGCAGCCCCTATGGCCCAGATGTCACCATGATTACTAATGACAACTGGCTCCTGCTTCCTCCAATTTCATTTTCCCTTTCCTCCTGTAGTGTCTAATTTCACCCTGACTCTGCTGACAATCTCCTCCATCCCCCAAACGACTTTTACAAGGCACGTGTGTCAGGTGCGTTCAGATTTACTGAAGGCGTGAGGAGATGGAGGGTTGTGTAGCGCCATGTTGCCAGACCTCTCCCCCACCCCACAAAGATCCCTTACTTCTCTGGTTTTTGGGAATGTCCTCCTTTGGGACTCCACAATGAAGCTCAACTTCCCTTTCTCGTCTATGTGTAACAGTTTAGTTCCTCACCTGCTACCCAGCTTTGGGGTCCATGTTGGCTTATTCACAGCCTCAGACCAACTCGTCCCAGTTGCACCCTTCTGGCTCACAGAATATTAGTGAAGCCTGTCATGCTTTGGGAGTAATCTACTTGTTTTCCTGTGATTGAACTCTGTCACTTTTCTTCCTTCCCCTGAAAAGGCAGAAATGGTTCAAGTCAGTTTTAGTGTTTAAATAACCCCTCCCCCAGCCCAACTCTGTGACAGAGCAAATACCATATGTGGTTTCTGTGAGGAGAGATGGCCTTATACATATCAATTAAGCATGGGAGTCAGAGTGTTGCTTTAGATGCTGTGTGGATTTGTGAGACTATGTGCATCGGTAAGATGGGTTGAATAACAGAATAAAGTAAATTTCCATACATTCTGTCACCATCACCCTTGCATGGAGATGTATGTGTAATCCAAATAGGTTGCTCAGTTAATGAGACTGCCCAGGTCGTCCTCCTCCTGGAGCTGGGTCAGTGAACTGTTGCCGTCCTGGTCAGCTGTTTTTACTTGCTTGTGTGTTTTCTGGTAGGCATCCTCTATGGGGTCTGTGGAGGGTTGTGTAAATATTGGAGTAACCTTTCTTCTCATCAGAGAGATGCCTCATGAGATTCCTCAAGAAAAGGACCAGATAATTTTGTTAACGCTGAGTTTGCAATGAGCGCATGTAGCTTCTTAATCTGCATGCCACTGGGAAAGGAACATGAAATATATTGAAAGTTTGTTCAGCATTTATATCATGCCTTTTCTCAGGGAATATAAGCAATATGCTTATGGGGCAAGTAATTAGCAGCATGATTTCAAACATGGTAAAACTGAGGTCCACAGACACATCAACTGTTAAAGAACAGAAAAGCTGTGAACTTGCAGTGTTATGCTTATGCTCCTACGTAAGGTCATACCCTTGAGAGTCAAACCTAATCTAGTTTTGCGGTCTCTCTAGAGTATTAAATAGTTGTTTAAAAGACCCTAGGGGCTTTTGTACAGATGTAAGGCTTCTAATAGGCTATTGTAGTAGACAGAAAAGCAGGGCCATAATTCACGGGCTCCATCTCCCACTCTGATCGCCTGCTCATCTGAAATAAGTTGGAGCTCACACTTAATTATCTGGAGACGGTACCCAATTTCATGTGATTCATGGAAACTGTATCATAAAGCAGAGTGTAGAAAAAGAAATCATATTTTTTCATTGTGCAGTTAAAGTTTGAAATCCCAACTGGGTCTCAGCATGAAATTAATTATGGCAATGACCAAATTTTAAATGCAGAGAATGTTAAATCTTGATGGCAACTAATAAAATCAAAGTTCTATTTTTAAAAAGATACCGATGTACTAAACACATTCATAGGACCCCAGTGTACTATACAGTGTGCCTCCGATTTTATTGTATGAAAAATTTCACCTATTGAAAATTAACATGTTAGACACTATAAATATTATTGGGATGTTCAATTACTGTTAACTCTATTTGTGTCTTAGACATTGTAAAGATTTGGAGGAAATTATTTGGAAGGACTCAGTCTCAAACAAAAAACAGTTAATGTGTATAATTAAGGGAAAAAGGCAAAGTGACTAAGAGTGTGTGTCATGTACCACCATTGGTGCACAAAAAGAGAAATGTGTGTACATATATATTTCTATGCATAGGCTGTCTCTGGAAGAACGCAGAAAATGCTAACACTGGTTGCCTTCACTAAAGGAAACTAGTAGGTGACAACAGTCAGAGGGACTCTTCTATGTTTTGAATTTTGGATTTATAACCTATTTAAAAATACAATTTTAGTGGATTTAAAAATACATAGCCTTGGGCCAGCTGAGTGGCTCAGTTGGTTAAGAGCTTGCTCAAGAGTGTGAGCTCTGAGCAACAGCGGTTTGAGTCCTGGCCTGAGCTGAGCTGATGCTGAGCTGCCAACAGATGGCAGGATGGCTCAGCTAAAAATCAAAAAACAAACAAACAAAAAAAACAAAAAAACACATAACCTATGTAACAATAGAAACTAAATTAATAATACAAGCAATATAGCAGTCAAGGGAAATTTTAAGAGATGTTATCTTTCACTCTAGATAATTCTCTGTAGTAAGACAGAAGCAGCAAAGTCATTCTACTGTCTTTAGATTAGAATATCAAATCAGAACTCATTTTATAAAAAAGTTATTGTAAACTAGCAAACAGGAAAAATTTAATCTCATTAATAGTAAAGCAAATGTAATTTAGAACTTGATACTATTTTCATCAATCATTTGGCAAAAATTTTTAGAAAAAATAATTTTGGCAGGGCTCAAAAGGTGAGACTTTTGGTAAGGTTTCTGGAAGAAATGAAGACTGACTGGTATAACCTTTCCAGAAAGCAATTGACTATAGGTAATGACTCTTTAAAATGCTTTTTTTTTTTAGATTTTTATTGGGGAATTGGGGGAAGGGGAACAGACAAGTTGCTATCCTTTTGTTCTTCAGTCTAGTTGTGGAGGACGTTGCTTCACTGGCCCAAGTTGGCACCATCATTGTGCTCTTTCCGGGCGAGGCAGGTCAGTCGCCGGCTTCTGGATGGCTGCTCACTGCAGCTGCTGGCCGCTCACGCTGGCTGTTGACTACATACGGTAGCCCATGGCAACCCACTGCCACAGGGGCTGCAGCCTACGCCATCGCCGGCGACTCATGGCAGCCCAGCTCCAGGTTGAGCTGTTGTTCAGCATCTTAGCTGTGGAGGGCAGTGTCACTGGCCCTCATATGTGGGATCCGAACCGGGGCCCTCTGGCATCCCAAGCCAGTTCTTAACCATTGTGCCACTCGGCCGGCCCAAGAGACAGCATTTAAATGGATGGAAATTCCTTTAGAATGTTCCTTAACAAAAACGTTCTAGGAACCACACTGACTCTACATGTTTTCTAATGTCCTGGTTCTGGCTAATTAAATTAAATGGACATGCTTTCAGCATTACAGGTAAGTTCAGTTTTTTTCCGTTTTTATTACTCTTAGGATCTTGACACAAATACCCTAAAAATGCCTTCTGCCCTCCCCACCACCATTCCTGAGTAAATAGCACTGAACTGATATTTACTAGACCCACATTGTACCTCCAGTTGTGCAAGTAACAAGCTGTGTGACCTTTAGCAGGTCACATTAACCTTGCTAGACTTCAGTTTCTCATTAGTGTGGAGATTGGACTAGCACGTCCCTGATGTCCCTTCTGGCTCTAGATGGCTACATATTGGTCATCGTTTAAGCTTATTATCCCCCCACCTCCCAGTTTTTGAGAAAATGGAAGAGACTGTTACTGCTTTCCTGTCTGATTCTTTTTCTTTTTCTCTCTCACAAACAGGAGCAGCTTCAGCTGTGGGTCTCCTTTACCTGCCTACATGGGCAGCCGCTGTTTCTGGCTGTATACTCGCCCTCTTCACAGCTTCCATGTGGCCTTTAGTGCTGGGACACCTTATTAGCTCAGGGTCAAGTCCTGGGAAGACCATGACCACTGCCATGATATTTTATCTTCTAGATACATTTTTCTGTGCATGGTGCACAGCTTTTAAATTTGTCCCAGGAGGTGTCTACGCTAGAGAAAGATCTGATGTGCTTTTGGGTGCGTACATTTGCAAGGTCTGGATTAAAGTAATAACGACTAGAAAATACCTTTCAGGACTGACTAGGATTTAGCACTTCATGTTGACTGGTGGAAATAAATAGGATGATCTTGCCTTTCTTATTAAAACAGTCACTTGATTAAAAAAACAAAAAAACTGGAGGAATGTCTAAATTGCTACTTAAAAACAAATTAATACATCAGTGAGTTTCAGTATTATTTATTACTACAAAGACCTTTTAAGTGACTTAGTTGGGGAAAAACAAGTTTAATTAATAATAAAGTATAAAAGAGATACTATGTAACACTTGTATTATAGGATATGTTGGAAAAAGGTATGATCATGATACTCATGTTGCTACTTCAGTGATAGGCCTGTAAATATTTATAGGAATTATGATTTTTTTTGGTTCTCCTGAATTTTTATTTACTGTGTTTTTCCCAATAAAATATATTTTGCATGTATAAATCTTAGTGTGAATGATAAATTCCCAAATCGTAGAATAAATGCATTTTCTATTTCACCAGTTATGAACTTACGTACAAAAATTAAATTTCCTAAACTCATCTCAGTTTAATACTGAAAAAATTATCTTCTGGCAATAATGAAATTCCTGATGTATACCAGGCATACAAAATTAAATGTTGTCTATCATTCTAGTTTAAGTAAAACATGTCATATGCTTCCAGGATAAAATCTCTGCAAAATGAGGAGCCAGCATACGTGAGGGGATTCAGTTCTTTTTTGTTCACACATTCATTTTTCCATTTGTTCATTTATTCATTAAAAAAATGATCACACACCTCCTGTGTTTCAGGCACAGTGCCAGGTGCTGGAGATTTAAGAGACATAGTGTCTTTGCCCATCTGAAGCGTCAGCATAGTGGGGGAAATACCACATATAAAATCAGACCAATACTTACATGGAATTAGAATTGGGGTGAGTGCTGCACAGAGGCCTAGGCTGCTTCTCGAGATCCTTTTCAATCTCCCTCCTTGTACCCTGGGTTTACATCCAACTCCTCTGTACGTTTTCACATATGCTTTCCTGCTCCATGACCGAGACATGCTGTCAGGACAGGCTGATTTGGAAGATACATTTTTAAATTCCATGAAATATTTAAAATAACTTGTGAGAATTTGATATTTCTGGCAAATACCCAAGCTCTCATCTAATTAGAGAAATCCATTGCTGCATTTCCTCTGCGATAATCTTGGCTTTGCAAACCTTGTATTTCTTCTGGTTTCTTTCAGGTACTCTGTCCTGCTCTTGCTTCCTGTCCAATGCCCTGCTTTTTTCTTACTCCAGCTTGCTTAGGGATCTGCCAGGTGGAGAAAAACGAATGAAAGTAAGAGCCATTCTAAGCCTAAGTTTGTTTCTTTAGAATGTTATGAATGATGTGCTTTTTGAGTTCCTTCTCAGCTAAGAATTTTTTTTAGTAAGAGTGGCATTATATGTGTTGATAAGGCCACAAAAACTAAGAAATGTTGGTAGTGTTCAAAGTAGCTTTTCATATAATGAAAAAGATCTGTATTAAATCAGAAACTAGTTATAAATTTATTGCCTGGGTTTCTCCTGCTATTTCCTGGAAATTGCATGTAACTTTTTTTTTTTTTTTTTGCTAGGCTTCCACCTAAGCTTAACTTACTTGGCATTTCCTAATTTATATATTGTTCAATCATACTTATGTTTGTTTTCATTCTTATTATATACAATCTTAGATGTATGTGAACTTTATACATAAGCTACGCTGTAATGCATCCCAGCTGAGCTCCACTTTATTGGCTGATGCTATGGGCACAGTGTGAGTTCCAACGTGCATCCTCTGTGAGGACCCTAATATCCACATCCCAGGCCAGAATTCTTGCCACAAATACTGCCATGTTGAGAACCTACGTGGCCTCTTTTGTGCTCCTCTGTTTGGTGCTTGTGAAGTCCTTTCAGTGGAGAAGATGGAGTCCCTACGGCCACCCAGAAGGCCTCTTCCTCTTGTGCTCCATTCTCCCCTGAATAGTCAACAGTCAGTGATGTGCAGTCTTAGCAACCTAACAACTGGGAAACACTCAGGAAATGAAAAGAAATCCCTCATCAGGTTTCTGCCTAGATGATTTGTTATGATCAAAAGTACTGTTAGAGTAATTGCTTAGGTACTAAGATAAATTAACTGAATTTTCAGGGTGTGCCCATTTAATTGAAATCTTTGCTCTTGAAATTTATCATTGAAAGGATTTGGGGTTTAAAATGTAACATATTCTAATATATTCTTTCTTTTTTTTCCTTTTTTTAAAAAATAGGGACAGTGATGCTAATTATTGGGTTGAATATGCTATTTGGTCCTAAGAAAAGCCTTGAGTTTCTTCTTCAAACAAAAAACAGTCCAAAAGTGCTTTTCAGAAAGAGTGAAAAATACATGAAACTTTGTAGGTATAATTTTGCTTTCTTTTTAAAAGAATTTTATTAAAAATATAAATTTTCAGCATATATGAAATTAAATATACCTCATGTACCCTTCACCCAGTTCCAACAATTAACGTTTTTCCAGTGTTAACTGCTATCTTCCTACTTTTTTTGGTGAAATACTTTAAAGCAAATCTCTGATATGATGTAATTTCGACCATAAATACTCTGTATTAGTTTTGTTTCACTTCTAATGTAGATGAGATGCTTTAACAGGTACAATTTCCAAAATGTTTTTTTTTTAAATAGTTGAGACTATTTATTTTATTTTTCTCTTTCTTTTTAGAAGATTAAATATGGGAATATTGATGAGCTAGAAACTCAAACATGAAATTGGTTTACTATTCAGTATCTGACTCATTTTAAACAGACTGTATTAAATAAAAATATTTATTGAATGTATAAACTTTGCAGATAGTGTATTAGAATATAATATATTCCCTAACTACAAAGTGTTATATAGGATACAAAGACATATGAAAACTGGTCTCCAACCCCAGTGACTTGATACTTAATTAAAGAAGACAAAATATTATAGTGTACAGAGATAGAAAACAATTAAGCTAAATAAATTTTAGTATACAGTATTTCTAAAAGAAATGTCACAAAGCAGTAAGACCATTATATAAAACCTTAATATATGTTTCTCATAATTTGAAAAGATTATATTAAAATTTAGGGACAAATTTTAAAATCTAGAGGTTTTTTTTTGTGTTCTTATATTTTAGTTATATCCCTTTAAAACTGCATCTGGCAGTTTTTGTTTGTTTTAAATCCTGACAATTATTTATTTATTTATTTATTTTTAAGAACCATAATTCTTTAATTCATTCATCAAATCAAGGCATTTGGAAGAGTTTATTTACAGAGTTGTTTAGACAGTGTTATGTGGTTTTTAAAAATAGACAATTTTTTAGAGCAATTTTAGATTCACAGCAAAATTGAGCAGAAAGTACAGGTTTCCCATATACCCCATGACCCCACATACACACAGCCTCCCCCACTATGAACATCCCCACCAGAGTGGTACATTTGTTACAATCAGTGAGCCTCCACTGACACATCATTATCACCCCAAGTCCATAGTTTACATTAGGTGTAACTCTTGGTGGTGTACATTCTGTGGGTTTGGACAAATGTATAATGACATGTAACCATCATTATACTATCATACAGTTTCACTGACTAAAAAATCCTTTGTGATCTGCCTATTCACCCGTCCCTCCCCCTATCCATGGCAACCATTATATTTGTCTTTGTTAAAACATGAATAGATTTTATTTTTTAGAGTAGGTTTGGGTTTACAGAAAAATTGAGCAGAAAGTATAAAGTTCCCATATACACCCTCTGACTCTCACCCCCACAATTTTCACCATTATTAACATCTTGCATTAGTGTGGTACGTTTGTTACAATTGATGAGTTAATATTTATAAATTATTATTAATTTTTGAGTTCACTCTTTTGTTGTTCTATGGGTTTTGACAAATGTATAATGTATCTACCATTATATACCAAATAACACTTGTATACCAAATGACACATGTATCTACCATTACAGTATCATACAGAATAGTTTTGCTACCTAAACATACCCTGTGCTCCACCTATTTGTCTTTCCCTCCCTCCTCCAAACTCCTGGCAACCACTGGTTTTTTTTTTTACTGTCTGTGTTGTTTTGCCTTTTCTAGAACATCAGTCTTTGTCTTTTAGCTTCAAAGTTTTATCTATTTTTATTGTGATTTCTCATGCATTATGATTTATTTCTATCATCTTACTTTCCTTTTTCTTTTTCTACTTTCTCCAGGTATATATTTTTTCCCCCTTGTTTTCCTTTTTGATTTCTTTTGCATTGATTGGGTTTTATTTTTTTCTTATTCCCCTCCTCCCCACTCCTCTTTCTAGTTTGGAAATTATACCTTTAATTTTTATTCTTATAGTAGTTGATTATTTTTTTCTCAGCACATTGAAGATATTCCCCTGCCATCTAGTTTTTATTTTTGCTGAGGAGAAGTCAGCTGTCTTTGCTCCTTTGAAGATAACCTGTCTTCTCTCTCTGGCAGTTATCTTTATTTTGGTGTTCTGCAGTTTCATGTGACTTGTATATCTAGCTGTAGACCCCCCTCCCCCCACCCTACCTACCTCTCATCTTGCTTGGGAGTCTTTGGGATTTTTGAATCTAAGAGTCATAGTCATGTCTTTTATCAATTCTTGAAAATTCTCAGCATTATAACGGCAAATATTGCCTGTTTCTTATTCTATCTCTTCTTTCCTTTTTGACTCCAATTACATATGTGTTGGATCTTCTTATCTGCTTCCCATGTCTCTTAACCTCTGTCATATACTGTACCTTTGTTTTTAAGCTGACCCTTGCACTAATTCTCTATTCAGCTTTGTCTGATCTGCTGTTTATCTTGTCCATTGAGCTTTTAATTTATTATAAATATTATGTAATTTTATGTCTAGAGATCTATTGATTTCTTTACAGATTTTCCTGATAATTGAGTTAGTCTTATGTTCCTGAGTCATACTATTGAATGCCCTCATTTACTTTTCTAAACATGTTAAGCCTGCTTATTTTATATTCTGATTCAGAAAGTTGCAGTATCTGAAGTATTTGTGGGTTTCATTTTGCAGGGTATTTTTTCCCCCACTGGTTCCTGCTCATGGAGACTTGTTTTCTTATATATTATTTCCTGTGTATACTTATTATTTATTTTTTTATTTATGATTTATTTTTATTTTAAGCCCATGGTCATTGGAATATTTTTAGGAAAGATTCTTTGAAACCTCGTTTTAAAGTATGGGTTATGGAGGCATGTCACCCGTGAAAATTAATGCAGGAATTAGACATTTCCCTTTGCACAAAATCCTTGGTTAATAGTTTTAATGATTTCATGAAAATTATTTTTTTAAGAAAACTTAGTTTCTTTTTAACAAGGGTATCTTCTTTCTATTTAGTTTTGTGGCTGCTTGTTGGTGTGGGGTTATTAGGATTAGGACTACGACATAAAGCCTATGAGAAGAAATTGGGCAAAAAGGTAAGTAATTAAAAAGCTTGATATAGAATTTTATATGATATATATGTATATACATACATGTGTATGCTTCACATTAGGATTGAACTCTAGACCTCAGTCTAATGACTTCAGGGCCCCGGAACCCGTCTCTGCGGCCCTTAGGTCAGAGGATGATAACATAGTGGAATTATTTTATGAAGTTGGGTTCTTGGGACAGGATGGAGACCCATATGTTAGAGGCAAACTGCTCATGATTTTGTTATATGAAGTTATTTTTGTCATACCATGATTTAACATATCTAAACCATGAAATAAAGAACAATTTTATAATGGGCTTCCTTGTATTGTCTGTTAGATACTGCTGCAGGCAACAATATGAGATTCTTTAATTTAAGAAAAATCTTACAGGCAATTCTTGATTTTGCAGATTATGGGTAACATGTATATTGATGGGGTGTGGAAGTTGTCTTTTCTCTTTTTTTCCCCTCTTGCTGTCTACAGTTTTAAATGTTTTATTGTCCCTTTCTCTTTTAGAAAGGTGGGCAGAAGCGAGTAAGTCATTGCATTGTGTGCTTTCTATCTGCTCTGATAAAAAGTTTGATGTGTTCCATAATGCAGTTAGAGTTACAGTTTGGGGTAACATAGAATTTGAGGGTTAACTTTGGATTTAAGTAATCCATATTACAAGCAAATTTTTCATATTAAATAAAAAGCTGTACTGAGGATACAGGCCATGCTTCTCTCGTTTACCTTTGTACTCCTAATGACTCACAGAGTGCTTGGCACACACTCAAAACTCAGTAACTGTTTCTTATTTAAGTAAATAATTCATTACGTTATCCATTTCTTTTGCCCTTTATTTATTAGTTGTTATTACTGCAAATAATGTTGGTCACAAGAGGATATGTAATGTCAGCCAGGGATTCTTTTCAAAAAGGAGTCATTTCAGTTAGATTTAGTACCTGTTTGTTCATCCATCCATTCATTCATTCATTCATTTGGTAAATGTTTATTGAATGTCTCTTGTATGCCTGGTGACAGGGATACAGAGGTAAACAAGTTGGGCAAGATGCCGGCTCTCACAGAGTTTACATTCTAGTAGGGGAGAAACACAGTATTCAGAGGAACAAATGACTCCAGCATGACATCTGTTTTTCTGGCTTGAGCAGCTGAATAGAGAGAGGTAGCACTAACTGAGATTTGAAGAGTGAAGAAATACCAGGTTTTGGAGTGATGAAATCCAGAGTTAATTACACAAATATAGTTACGTGTAAAGGGATAGCTTGACGAATATAATCCTGCTTCTTGAAGTCTGTTGATGGTCCCATTCTCTTCATATGACATTCACTAAACCGAATAATGTTTCTTGTATAAAGATGAAATGCCCCACTCACTGCACATTGAGCTGTTTATGCTGAGCGGTGGCCCTCCTGCAGAGAGGTTGCTATTTATCCTTCTCCCAACCTGAACTTGTATGGTCCACATTGAGTGGTTTTTTCAGTTGTGGTGATGGATTTGTTCTAATCCAGCCATACTCTTTCACAGGGTCTCTGTTGTGAATCAGTAGTTATTAGCTCGAGGTGGATGGTTAGGGTTGGGCAGTGTATTCTCTGACTTCGCCCATGGACTCAAAAGAGGAGCTCTCAAAGGGGACGGTGCTCCTGAGCCTTGGCCTTGCTGGGACAATAGGGGAGTGACACCATTTATAACTCGGTTATAATGGCACACCACTTTACAAATATGTTAAAGGACTTTAACAAATATGTTAAAGGTATCCCTCTGGGATTTCATTCTTCTCCAGTGCAAGGGTAACTCCTATCCTGAATATGGTGTTTATTATTTTCATGCATTTCTTTGTATTGTTGCAAATGTAAGATACACGTATATCCCTAGACAATATTCTTTTTTTCCATGTTTTTAACTTTATCTAAATGACATCTGACATATATATTTTGCAACTTACTTTTTCTACTTAAAATTATCTCTGCAAGATTCATCCATATAGAAATAGGTAGCCCTAACTCATTTATTAGGATTGCATAGTATTCCATTATACGTATGTGATGCCATTTATTTTTTCATTTTCCTATTTTTTCCTATTGAAACAACAGCCTGACTGTTTCTGATTTTTTTTTCCTGTTGTAAACAATGCCTGTTATAAATGCTCGCTTTCCAAACATCCCTCCTGACTTCTGAGCTTAAGGTAGAAGTTCACAGAAGACTCTGAGAATACCATGTACCAAATATCTCCTTATTTTTACGAATTCAATGTGGGCAAATGTCTAAGAAAATTCCTTTGCTGAAATACAAATTTTAGTAGAGAGAGGTGGAGAACACAGTCCCCAAACCTGCCATTGTTCACAGTCCTCCTAAATTGCCATTAAAACTATTCCTCAGGCACCAGCCATAGAGGTCTCTGCCGCCATCTGGCCTCTCAGGTTTGGGTACGACAATGAAGGATGGTCTAGTCTAGAAAGATCAGCTCAACTGCTCAGGCAAACAGGTACGTCTCACTGGAATTAGTTCCAGATTTTGAGAAACTGCTATTGCTCCTTTTATTCTGAGCAAGATCGTAAGTAATAGGAGGGGGGTTTGCTGGGTCATAAAGTCACCTTTCACCAAGGCTTTACTGTGGTGGCAGCTGCTGGAGGGTTAAGCTTCTGTAAGCACATCTGTCTTCGTTTGAGAGCAATTAATTCAGTTGATTCTGAGCAAAGGCTCACACTGGGTATCTACAGGGGATTCTTGTCATGACTTCACTCTTAGAGATGCTACTGCTGGTGGCTCCTGTCGCTTGGAGACCCATGGTTGGCGACCAGAAAACTGTCAGATTAAGAGGCAGCATGGGTTAGAGTGATGCTCATTTGTGAAGCAAATTGCTTTCAGGAGCCTAAGAGAGAATTTTTAAATTTCCATGCCCAGGGGAGCTTGTCTCTGTATGAAGCATCCTTGAAAATATGTGGGTGCTTGGTTCTTAGATTAACTGTGTGGAGCAAGATACATACAGGGCTAAACTGTTCTGATTAGTCCTCATGATAAGCATGTCTCCTGGAAAATTGCTGAGGGTCTGTATGAGTCCAGTGCCACTAAGAAATTTCCTGGGCCCTGTGTCCTTTAGTCTTGATTACAGGCCTCTGGTACATTTTGAGGCTCTCAAAAGACCAACACACTGACTTCTGTGTCAATACCATGAAGGTGTTTGCCTGGAATAAAACACTGTTGTGCACCACTGTATTGTTTCTGAACATAAATTGGGTATCTGAGAAAGGCATTAAGCTTACTGGAAATTTCGAGGATGATGTTAAGAATATTTGAAAATTTAGAAAAGTTATGTTTTTATACTTTCCTGCATTTTCTTAAGGTGCCCAATGTATTAATTACATTCTAATATGGGGAAATTTCCTGTAGCTCAGATTGGAGCCACTTCACTTTCGTGACCTGTCAGGAATTACTTTGTTTTTGATTTCTGAGTAAAGGCAAAGGGTTCAAGAATAAAGTTTTGCTAATTGTTTTTGCTTTGCTGTCGTTAATCACCACATGCATTTTTTTTTCCTTGAACAGGAGCAGATTTCATAACAATTTTGGAGAGCGATGCTTCTAAGCCTTTTATTGGGAACAATGACTTAACCATGTGGTTAGGGGAGAAGTTGGGTTTCTATACCGACTTTGGTCCAAGTACAAGGGATCACACTTGGGGGTGAGTGGACTTTTGGTACCAATCCTGAATATAGCCTTGAAAGGCTAGGCAGCATAGGTTTAGCCCTGTGACTGTGCCCCAGTGATGCTTCTTGGGGGATGAGGAGGTGCTGAAGATACACATATTCCATAATTGTGTTACTGGATATTTTCAGTTCTGCACCATTATAAACCATTCAGCATAGGAGCTGAGGTTACACCAGTAAGCATGTCCGACCTGGATGCTGTCCATGGAGCTTATGTTGTAGTGTAAAGAGACAGAAAATAAACATGTGCACAAAGAAGTAAACCAGATAAGTTGAGATAATTAAGTACTATGCAGAAAAGGAAGCAAGCTACCGAGAGAGAAAGTACTAGGTGGGCAGAGACAATGGAGGATGCTACTACAGGTAGGATAGCCAGGAAGGCCTCTGAAAACCTCATGAAAGGAAGGCCCCAGGGGACTTACCTGTTGGAAGAGCTGAGGGAACCACCAGGGTAAAGATTTGGGGCAGAATCAAGTTTGGTATGCCCGAAGCCTAGGGATTGAGGGGGACCTGGTGAGAAATGAGGTCAAGGTGGGCACCTGATTTTAGAGAGCCCCGTAATCCATGCTTAGGGCTTGATTTAATTCAGTTCTGCTGGAGAGCCATTGGAAGATGTAAAACAAGAGTGATATGATCTGATTTACATTTTAAAAAGATCCTTCTGGCTGTTCTCGGAAGAGCAGATTATTGGCAGCAAGAGTGTGAGCAGGGAGACAGGTGATGAGGTAGATGCAATAGCACAGGTAAGAGATGACAGCGGGAGCCATGGCGATGGAGAGAAGGGGACAAACTCAGGAACTGTTTTGGAATAGAACTGACAGAACTTACTGATGGTTTAGATGTCAGGGGCCTGGAAGTCAAGCATCAAGGGCAACGTGTAGGTTTTTGACCTGAATACCTGGTAGGAGATGATGCTGTTTAATAGGATGGGAATAACCAGGACAGGAGCAGGATTGTGCTAAGTTTGAGATGGCCCCAGCCAGTCAAGTGACGTCCGGTATGCAGCTGTGTGTAGCCTGGAGAGCCGAGTAGGACAGGGCAGGTGGGACATGTAAAATCCCTATAGAGATGGTCCCGTCGGAGTGACTCCATGAAGGGGCCAGAGAGAGAGAGTGCGTGCAGCCAGGGAAGAGAAGCCGGCTGAGGGCTGAACTCTGCTCACCCTTTTTTTTAATGTATTTCTTTGACTTACAGTGAGTTGGAACATGTTTTCATAACTTTATTGGACAGTTGTAATTTTGTAAATTGTTCCATGGTGTCCTTGCTGGCAAGATTATACATACCCAAATGTGTTGATGAATATTAGAATTGTTTATGCAGATATGTTGCCAGAGTAACAATGCAAGTCAAATGAATTTTGTGTACTATCAATTCTGCCCTCTTCGTGTCTCCATAACACTCATTAAAACAGTGCTGGTAGCATTGTGCTTAGTGACACAGCGAGACACGCGAAATAGCAGAGAGGCAGTGAACCAACAAGCAGATAAGTCTCCGCCACATTATTGCTCTGAATGCCCTCAGTGGGACGCTTGAAATGTGACACCTTCCTTTTTACACATTTGCTTATTCCTGTCTACATGATATCGCCGGGCCTACAATGATGTTTCTTTTTCATTCCTATACAGGATTATGGTTTTGTCAAGATACCCTATTGTGAGATCAAAGCATCACCTTCTTCCGTCACCAGAGGGCGAGATTGCACCAGCCATAACACTGACTGTTAACATCTCTGACAAACTCGTGGATTTTGTTGTGACACACTTTGGGAATCATGAGTGGGTTTCTTTGGTTTATCTAATGGTACACAAATGCCAAGAAATAGCTAACTCATTACTTTGATTTCCATGCAATGACCTTTCTTACTTTCTAATTGTTTTCTTCCAAAGTATTTCCCCCTGTAGTGCTGCTTTTTAAAAATCAGCCAGAGAGAGACATTTGAGGTGCAGGCAGTCCTTAGGGACGGTGGAAGGCAGAAGTGACAACGTGCTAGCCAGCAGTTACCGAGCAGTTGCTGTGCTAATGCATTGTTGTAGTGAATCCTCACTCTGTATCAAGTAAGTGCTAGCATAGACCCATTTTACAGATAAAGAATCTAGACTAAGAAAGATGAGATGACTTGTCCAAACGGGGTCACACAGCTAGGAATTAGGTAGACCCAATCCAGAGCCTGCAAGTGCCTGGAACCACATGGTAAACCAGACTGCAGAAAAAAGAAATTCCTTTTTCCTACAGGTTTACTGCAATTGGGAGTACTGTTGGGATTTGAGGGTACTAAGTGACGTTCCTTTTTCCTTGATGTTTTCACAGTCAACTGACAGGTAAACAGAGGAACCTGGCAGGGAGATCAAAATGTCACTTTTAATTCTGATAAGCCTATTTGGACAACGTGACTTCAGTGCTTCCATGTGGACCTGCTAATACATTCCCCCAAAAATACATGAAATTGACCCCCCAAAAGAGCAGGCCTACCCAGCAGGGGCAGAGGCTGCCCTGTCAAGCTCCTGCCTGAGTGAGGAGAATAAACCAGAAAACATCCAGTGTGCTAATGGGCAGTTTCCAAGGAGAAGAGAGAGGAAGGGTTTGAGACAAGTCTGCCCAGTTAATTATTCCAAACTTAATTAATTATAAAAGTCATCCCCAAAAGTAAAGTGTGGAGAGAGAGAGGCCAGAGATGGTTTTCGAAGAAAGCCCCCTGTACAAGGAGACATGAGGAAATAGGACATGAGTTTTATCCCCAAAGAACAACATTCACAGCCAGTGACTTAGTACTGAAGAAATCATGTATGATGCCAAGAATATATTGTAAAAGCAAAGATAAAGGTATATAATTTGTACTCTACCACAGCAAACATTCTGTAATAATAATAAAACATTGATGTAAAGTGCTAAATGCTATAAAATAAGGCATAGAGTCCTATCCACATAATATCACAAGAGGCCACAGAGCTTTCAAGTGACATACAGAGCATTAGAAAAACAACATTGTCATACTGTAAGTTTTAACCTAAGCAGAAATAATGTGTCTGCTACCCTTATTTACCTGGTTGTCTCACTTTTTCTCACAGTATAATGGGGATCTGTGAAAGTACACTTGCATATTTTTGGAAATAAGTCAGAGCATAAGGAAACCATCCCAATGTAGTTAATATGAACCATTTGCTAATCAGACTCTTGTTTGCCTCCTTAGAAATAAGAAGGGTGTTTAGAAGGTGGATGAATAGATGGACCGTATCTCCTTAAAAAGCTGTTTGAAGAAATGCCTTCTGTTTCTCCCCGTAATTTTCATGTAGCAAGTATAGGCATTCAAAAATCACCTCACTGACCCTAAATCGCATTTTGAATTGGGTTTGTCTTTAAAAAAATAGGCACTTTTGTGTTTAAAGGTTGCAAGGCTTCAACCTAAGAAACAGTTGAGTCTACCTCTTCTCTTTTTTTTTTTCCTGTGCTTTTCCCCCCTGCCCCCTTCAACTCTCTCAGTATAAAGAATAGACTTGAAAAGGAAGAAAAGACTAAAAGCCCCCAGAATGTGTTTGGACAAGAGGAAAGAAGGAAAGCCTTGTCTAACTTTCTATTAACTACATCTATAAAGCTCTCTGATGAACACCACATCCTTGCTATCTTACTCACTTGATTTAATAATAATGACAACAGCAGAAGCAACAATAGTTAACGTTTATTGAGGGGATGTAACTCGAGGGGGGGAAGTAGTGTAGTTTGATGGCTAAAAGCATGGAATTCCAAAACCTGGAATCGGATAATCTGGTTTGAATTCTAATTCAAAGTGTGTCCTTCATCAAGTTATTTAACTAGCTGGAGCCTCAGTTTCCTCACTTATAAATCAGGGGCAATAATCCCCCCCCCCTATTTCATAGGGTTCTTGTGAGAATTGAAAGAGCTATATTATCTCATGCAAGTACATGAATACAGTAAGTGCTCAATTAATGCTGGCCATTGTTATTAAACCAAATCAGACAGCTCTAAGTGTAAAATATGTTGGGCAGCTTAAAAAGAATTCATTTATCAAGTATAAATCCAGCATGTTTTTTTGTCTCAGGCAAAGCCCATGTTCCAACAAGTGATGTGAGAAAGGACACACTTGGAATAATTTGTGAAACCATCATTACGTATTTTCATTTGTCTTTGTTTTGTATAATACTAAAGAAAAAATTCTTACTGCGAATAAATATTTAGAGATTTCATTTTCTAGTGATTATGGCATACAAGCATGAAATCATATTAGGAATGAATTACAGGATGCTTGTGCATGTTATTAGCTGGTTCAACAAAATTTTTAAAATTGCTGATTACATAAATATCTGTTTACAGCCAATATGTAGGAAATAGCAGCGTTTTTTAGAAGTCATTTAGGTACACACCATTTTTGATTCAATGTTAGGTAATTAACTAGAACCACCAGTTAATCACCATTGTTTTATTTCTTTTGTTTGTAATATGTATAAATGTGCAAAGAAGAAAGAGCCCAGAATCTGTAGTCTGAAGACCTGTGTACTAGTTTTAGTCTGCTGTCACATAACCTCAGTGAGTTTCAGTTTCCTAGTCTTTGAATATTGGATAAAATTCTCTTTTCCAACCCACGTGATATGGTTATTGAGGTAATCAAATATTAACAGAAAAGAAAACAAAGTGTTTTTTTTCTCTCTCTTCCCTTGTCTTATAGCCATATGTATACTTCCTGTTTTTATCCAGATTTATCTTCTGAGAAAATGTAAAATCAAATTTATAGATTATTTTCCAATAATATATTGCTAAAATATATTTGTATGAAAACACTGTGTTGCGGTGACTTTGGGATTTTCTATACCTGGATTTGAATCCTAGTTCCATGTATCAGAAGGAAGAGAATTCACTGCAGACTTAATGGACTACTTACCAACATGTCGGAAGGGTCAAAGAAACAGATAAGAGATGCTCAGGCACTCAGACACTGGTAACAGTGGGGGAATCATTACCATCCTTAGGGACAGGCAGAGGAAATGGTGTTTCCAGAGAGAAATCAGGAACCAGGAAGAGGGGCGACCAGGCATGAGGAAAACAGCTACTGCCAGAGGGACTGGGGGAGAAATACCCCGACTTCTTTCCCCTCCCATCATTTCACCTCCTGCTGGTGCTTCCAAATGGCCAAACAGAACTGGAAATCAGCAGACGTGGGAGCCCAGGAGATAAAATCTGCAGGGGTCAGCCTCCCAGGGCATAGAGAAGGGCCAAGAATGGCTCTGCACAGGGGAGGTGGAAAATAACCATAGGCATGTTACTTAGCCTCATTTAAAAATAAAGCTAAACACCTGCTTCTCGGTTATTATGAGAATTCAGTATCAGAGATATTAAACAAATGGTCATTCTTTCCATGCTTCCATTTCTTGAGATATCTTTTAATAGTATCAGCTGTCCACACATACTTATCTAAGCTTAGTCCTGTCTTCAGATCCTATCTTAATGGCGTTTCTCTGATCTTCTTGGTCCTCGGTGATCTCCGTTTATCTTCCTTTGTCATTGTTTTTTTTCCTTAACCGTTTATTAGCTATCTTACTCTGTTAATGCCTGTGTTGTTTTACTTCCTGTTTGTTCTTGGATCCATTCCTGGCTCATTTCCCTCTCGGCTACACATTGCAGGAAACCACATTCCCAGAGTCTCTTGCCTTCTGGCTTCTAGCTAATGGGAGGCACTAGTGCAAGTCTGCAAGGTGGGAGGAGTGGAGAAGTCGGGGTGCTTCTCATCCTCTCTCTTTCTGTGTTCTCTGGTGTTTCTGGCAGTAGCTGTGTGTCTTCCGTGGTCCCAGCCCCTTCTGGACAGCCTCTTCCATAGCATCCTCTCCATCAGTCAGGGCTGGCTTCTGGACTCTGGGAATATCACCTCCTCCTCTTGTCCCTCTAATTCTCTCTAGAGGTGATACTGGTTTTTCATTGTTGCTAAACTCTGGTTGCTTCATTGACTGCAGTTCGGCTTCCCATCACCTCAGTAACCGATTCCCTATATTAAATTCACTTTGTTTGAAACACCTAGAGTGGTTTCAGTTTTCCTGGCTGGATCATGTCAAGTATGATGGCCCTATTTCCCCCCAAATAGATTGACTGTAAACCCCCAAAAGCTTGATGTAACTGTCTTATTATCTCAGTTATATATTGGCAGTGCTTCGAATAATAAAAGTATCCTGTTTCACTAGAATTTGACCTGGAGAGCCACATTTTGTAAGTGTTCTAAGTTGAGGGAGCTGAATAGGTTACATAAGCTTGTAATGTTCTGTGCATGTTAGGGTTCTCTACGAGTCTTTAGCTATAATACTGACTACCAGGTCTCAGATTATTGACAATTTCTTCTGATGAAAAGTTGAACAAATGCTGTTTTTAAAGATTTTTTTTATTGGGGAATTGGGGAAGGGGAACAGCCAAGTTGTTATCCTTCAATCTTGGTTGTGGAGGGCACATCCAGCTCAACTCCAAGTCCAGTCGCTATCCAGCCACCCGTTGGCAGCTTGTGGCTGCTTGGCTCAAGGTGCTGTGTTCAATCTTAGTTGCGGGTGGACGCAGCCCACCATTCCATGCAGGAGTCAAACTGGAAACCTTGTTGTTAGGAGCATGTGCTCTCAACAGCTGAGCCATCCCTCCACCTGTTGGCAGCTCAGCTTGGGCGCAGTTCACTGGCCCGTGTGGGAATCGAACCGGTGACTGTGTTGCTCAGAGCTTGCACTCTTAACCAACTGAGCCACTAGGCCAGCCCCACAAATGCTGTTTTTAAAGTAGACATTTAAATAATTTGTGGGGGAAGATCATGCTGTTCTTAGTAAAAAATTTGTCATCTTACTCAGTTGAAGCACTGTCATGTTCATTTCCATAACTTTCACACATTTGCCCAAGTAGAAATTACTCTGGGTTTGTGCTCTACTGAAGATATTTTTTGTGGAACTTAGGTACCTAAGATGTTTAAAAAATTGTTTTGCAAATACAAAAAAATTACATTTTTGCGTTTTTTTTTAGAGATGACCTCGACAGGAAACTTCAGGCTATCACTGTTTCAAAACTACTGAAAAGTAGCTCTAATCAAGTGATATTTCTGGGATATATCACTTCGGCACCTGGTTCCAGAGATTATCGACAACTCATTGAACATGGCAATGTGAAGGTAACACAATCTTAATAGGATTTGATGTATTAAGTAAAATGTTTCTTCTCCAGTTTTAAGAAAAAACAAACTGAACAACTTAGTATGTATTATGACTACTACTGCGTAGAAAACCACCAAAAAAATGTACTGGCTTTAAACAACTGTAATCAGCTGTTTGCTCATGAACCTGCAATTTGGACAGGGCTCAGTGGGAATAGCTCATCTCTGCTCCACACAACTCGGTGGCTCACCTGGGGACTGCAGATGACTCACGGGTGGCAAGTTGGTGCTGGCTGTTGACTAGGAGCTCAGAGGGGGCTTTGGGTTTGGGGGTCTTGGTTCCTCCCCATGGGCTTCCTTCATGCATGATGGTTATGTTCCAAGAATAAGTGTCCCAAGAGAACCAGGAAGAAACTATTGCCTTGTATGACTTAGCCTAATATGTCATATAGTATTACTTCTGTCATTATCACAGCATGCTCACATTCAAGTGGAAGACACATAAGCTCCATTGAGATATATTAAAGTCACATTATAAGAATACCATGTAGAAAGACTGTATTTCAAAAATAAATCTGCCTTATTATATAAGTTAGTTATGATGTTGAGAGTAAAGGATTAAATGAAATGACACATAGAGGGGCTGGCTGATCAGCCAGACAGGGCCTCAATAAATGTCATTGAATTAATCCTTACCTGTTCCAGTCTAAAACACTTGAATTTATCAGTGTACCCAGATATAATCATGCTTTGGGGAACTGACACACAAATCAAATCCTGAAGACTGATATATACACTAGAATACTTAATACATTAATTTATAATGAGAAATATAATTGTTATATTTAGTTAAGCCCTATGTAGATGTCTTAGTCCTTTACATTTTTTTTTTTTAAAGATTTTTTTTTTTACTGGGGAATTGCGGGGATGGAAACAGCGCTGGGGAATTGGGGGAAGGGGAACAGACAAGTTGCTGTCCTTTTGTTCTTCAGTCTAGTTGTGGAGGACGTTGCTTCACTGGCCCATGTTGGCACCATCATTGCGCTCTTCCCGGACAAGGCAGATCAGTCGCTGGCTTCTGGACGGCCGCTCACTGCGGCTGCTGGCCGCTCACGCTGGCTGCTGGCTACACACGATAGCCCATGGCAACCCACTGCCACAGGGGCTGCAGCCTACGCCGTCGGAGGCAACTCTCGGCAGCCCAGCTCCAGGTTGAGCCGTTGTTCAGCATCTTAGCTGTGGAGGGCAGTGTCACTGGCCCTCATATGTGGGATCTGAACCGGGGCCCTCTGGCGTCCCAAGCCAGTTCTTAACCATCGCGCCACTCAGCTGGTCCTACATTTTGTTTTCAACTTCATGACTTGAAATGACATCTGCAGAGAGAAAAGCTTGCTATTTCATCTTATCAAGTGCCTGGAAAGACAGGTGATGGAGAAGCATGGCATGATGAGGGTTTTCTGCATGTGACAGAAAACACAAAATGACAGTGGCTTCAATAAGAGAGAAGTGTATTTATTTTATTTCTTTCATTTTTCTTTTTTTTTTTTTTGGCTATAGAAGAGTACTTCTTTATGTTAAAGTCTGATTAAGCACTGGTACAGCACTCTGATGTCAGGAATGAGCTCCTTCTACCTGTAGCTCCACTTTACGAAGCCTTCATTCCCAAGTTTGCCTCATGGTCCAAGATGGCAGCATCCATGTTCTAGTTAGCAAGATAGAGGAGGGGATAAAGAAGGGCATAAGAATGTTATCTCTGAAGGGAAATTCTAAGAAACTGACCTCCAACACTTGTATTTACATTTCATCAACTAGAATTTAGTCATATGGCCACACCTTGATGTACAGGAAGTTGGGAGGTGCAGTATTTAATCTTGATACCCACATACCAAAAATACCACAACTTTGGAAGAAGAGCAAGGCAGATATTAGGGAGGTGAGTTAGTCTCTGTCATAGTGGATAAGGCAGAAAGTAGAATTAAGGTGGACTCCTGATTTTGGCTTTGGTCAGAGGGCTTATGATGGTGACATGTATTATAATAGAGAATACAGATGGAAGAAGAGTTTGGCAAAGAAGATGACTAGTTCAGCTTTAGGCTCTGTTGAGGTATCTGTGGGATATTGATGGAGCTCTCTAGTAGGTAGCTGGATATATGGATCTGGAATTGAGAGGGCCGTCAGACCTAGAGATATAGATTAAGGAGTTGCCACCATCTTGATGATCATTGAAACCATGGAAGTGAATGATATTGCTTATGGAATTAGAGAAGTGTAAAAGGAAGACCAAAGAAAACCCCTGATTTAATGTGGCTGTCATGGGGTGATGGGTGAGGGAACAGAAGGGAGAATATCTCAGAAAAGAGATAAAGGAGATGTCAGAGAGGAAAAGAAAAACATGGAGCGTGTGGAATCACAGAGGTTGCATCACTCATTTATCACTATGTAACCACTTAAACCTAGTGGCTTAAAACAATGGTTTAATATTCTTATAATTCTGTGGGTTGACTTTGTGGTTGTCTGTTTTTGTCTGTGTTTACTCATACAGTCAGCTGGTGGCTTGGCTGTGGTTGGTGGGAGAGGTCTAAGATGGCCCCACTCACATGCCTGGGGCCTCAGTGCGGGCTGTTGGCTGGGCCTCTCTCTCCATATGGTCTACCATCATTCACTAGCCTAGCTGGTGCTGCATTTGTGAGCTGTGTGACATTGGGGCAAGTTATTTAAACTTTGTGGGCCTCAATATCTGTATCTGTAAATTGGTAATAGCAATATCTATTGTATCATAAAGTTGTTATAATGAAGTATAAGCAGATGTCTGCAAAGCCTTCACCTGGTATGTAACAGGCACTCAGTAAATGATAGCTACATATATGTATTATGTGTACCTGGCTGTATGTACAAAATCAAACAAGATAAATGTGTAAGTACATAGTCTATAAAGTACAAAAGAATGTTACACAAGATGATATTTGGCAAGTCTAAGGAAAAATTGAATCCTAATAAGAGAGGGAATTCTCACATTGTGTGTGTGTAAGGCATATGCATAGTGTTAGAGAAGAGGAATTTTATTTGATTTTTATTTAATAATCCTTGGTTTCCACTATCATGGTCAGAAGCTGTGTCAATATTGGCAGTGAATTCTTATATAGCTTTTTTCATCAGGAAGTTTATTAATGTGGAGAGGAGTTTTGGTCATAAGTGCTTGGATGAATAGATTTTTCTCTTTAAGAAACGAGTATTTAAATTCTGCAGTCTTAAAATTTGACAGCATCTATTAAAAACCTAATAAAATAAAATGATAGTTAAGCATATTCACAGCTTTATTATTTCCACTATATATAGCTGAATGACTAAATTTTTATCTCTTTCCAAGACAAGCCAGAACAGTCCTTTTTTATTTATTTATTTGCTTTTTTATCACTGAAATTTTTGTTTAAAATTTATTACATTTTAAAATTTATACTAAAGATATATATACATATGTAAATATATATATATGTATATATATATATATACATATATATATATATATATATATATATATATATATACACAGAGACACACACACAGAGACACACACAAACATATATATGTATAGGTGCAGAGTGTGCCCAAAAAAGCATATACATTTTAATAAAGGAAAAACTGTATTTAAATTANTTATACTAAAGATATATATACATATGTAAATATATATATATGTATATATATATATATACATATATATATATATATATATATATATATATATATACACAGAGACACACACAAACATATATATGTATAGGTGCAGAGTGTGCCCAAAAAAGCATATACATTTTAATAAAGGAAAAACTGTATTTAAATTACACCGATGGTAACCACTTTGAGCACCTCTTTTAATTGCAGAAGTCAAATGTGATTTGTATTCATCTTTTGTTATCAGCATAATTTGAGTATTACAATGTTAATACAGTTTTTTCCTTTCTTAAAATGTGTATATGTATTTTTGGCACCCTCTGTATATATATGAAATAAAATAGTAAAGACCGATTAACAAGCATCCATATGTCTACCGACAAGCTTATGAAAAAATTAAGAAATGATAAATTGTGGAGTATTCTTTCAGTGGTTTAAATTTTTAAAATTAAATTTTAGTGGTAAAAATTGAAAAATTGTCAAAAGTCAGGTATTTTTTTTATTTATAGGATTTTTCAAAAGAAGAAAATGGAAATTTCTTCAGTATAAAATCTCCATATTTTAGAGTTTTCCCAACACACTTTAGAAAAAAAGTATGTGTATGTTCTGCTTCTGTGATGAAAAATAACCCTGGTCTTAAGCTTTTAACATCACAAAGACTCATGATTACTCCCAAAATGTGTTTATTTCCAGTGATTCAATTTAACAAACACAAATTGAGCGCCTGCCAAGCTCCAGGTTTCATGCTAAGTACCAGAGAGCCAAAGTGATTAAGAGTTCCTCTGCTCAGGAAGGGGAGGGTGGAGATATACCGTATTTCCCAATATATAAGACGCACCTTTTTCGAAAAATTTGGGGTCTGAAAACTGAGTGTGTCTTAAACAGTGGTTGTAGATTTTTTTTACTTGCATTTCCCACTTTTTTCTCGCTTGTTTTTGTGCTCATACAACCACTGTATAAGATGCACCCAGTTTTTAGACTCCAAATTTTTCGAAAGAGGGTGTGTCTTATACATGGGGAAATATGGTATAAACAAATAACCATCCAGAACAGTGTAACTGGTGTGCATATATAGGTTGATAGATGAAGATTCAGTAAATTCTGCTTGGGATGAGAGACTTGGAAAGTTGCAGGGAGCCAGGGCTGTATAGCAATTGTTGATTTCCCTATCTAACTCCCTCTCTAGGCCATGTCTATGTTTGTGCTCCAAACACCTAGTACAGAAGTGAAATAAGCAAATAGTAGGTGTATCTACAGAATGAATAAATAATTTGGACCTTAAGGGATCAGTAGGAGCCAGAGAAAATAGTATGCACAAAGGCATATTTATTACTGTAGCTCACACATTTTCTTGGCAGTTTAGAATAGAGCACTGTTTTAATGCCTTAAATATTCTCTTTTCTGCTTATTAGGATATTGACAGCACAGATCAAGACAGATGGTGTGAATACATTATGTATCGAGGGCTGATCAGGTGAGCGTAGGTGTTTGATTTTTAAAAAAATCTCTTATTATTGTGATCTTTTGGGTCTATGCTGGAGGGAAAAACTTTATGGAAGCAGTTAATTAATTTTGTTACTTTTTATAAACATTTATTTGGTTATTTATGCAGTTTAACATTTTTTTCAAGTCATGGCCTAAAGATTTAAGAAGGAATAAATAGCTAAGCAAATTAAGCTTAATGATACAAAGAGGATACTATGTAAGTTATTAAGCATGATAAGTATGTAACTGTCAACACATGCTAGGAATGGCACCATTTTTTTTACTGTATGACACAATGGAAACAGCATAGACCATAGAATAAGAGAGCTCTAGACCTGAATTCCAGCTTTGCCAACTTCTGATCATGTAATCTCGGATAAGTCAACTAAATTGTTTGAGCCACTACTATATTGTAGTGAGGTATCTACGTAAATTGTATTTAAAAAAAAATACCATTCCATATCAAACAGTGAATATTTTATATATATTCCAAAATATTGTGTGAGAAGCAATTTGTATAGACAGAATATTCATTAGTATAAAAAGTAGAATAAGGTTGCCAGTGTGTTTAGTTAATTAAATGTATGTGCATGTTCCTTATTTATTTATATCATAAAAGTAAAATGTTGATAAATATTTATAGTAAAAAATCAAGATAATTCTAGTGATATGCAGAGTAGAATTATTGTAGAATGGGAAATTGGCTTAATAATTAAGGTGTTATCTACTAGATCACATCAGATTTCTGTATGACGATAAACTTTTAAAAACCATTTGTATTTCTGCCACAGATTAGGTTATGCAAGAATCTCCCATGCTGAACTGAGTGACTCTGAAATTCAAATAGCCAAATTTAGGATCCCTGATGACCCCATTAATTATAGAGACAATCAGAAGATAGTCATAGACCACAGGGAAGTTCCTGAGAAAATTCATTTCAGTCCCAGGTAAGTGAGCCCCTTTATGTTGTAAGCTACAGTTATGAGTTACAGCATCCTCTCTAGAGACTTAAATATTACCCCACAATGAGCTACAAATTATATTTGGTTCTACAGGTTCATTTAAGTAAGGGAGTCATATTAAAGATTAAAAAATCCTATTTCTGGTCAAGATGGCGGAGTAGGTAAATGCTGTGCTTCCATCCTCTCACAATACATCAAAATTACAACTAAACTACAGAACAAACATCCTTGAGAATCGTATGGAGTATAGCTGAACAGAAGTCTTATAACTAAGGATATATGGAAGAAACAACATTGAGACTGGTAGGAGGGGCAGAGATGCAGAATGGGTTGATCCCCATACCCACATGTGGCAATTAAAAATTGGTAGGGATCTCTTGGCTGCAGAGGTTCCCCCTGAGGAGTGAGGGGTCACAGCCCCACAGTACGGTCCCCAGCCCAGGGTTCCAGTGCCAAGAAGAGAAGTTCCCATAACTAAATGCTGTGAAAACCAGCGGAGATTGTAGCTGAGTGAGACTGAGGGCAGATGAAGTCCCAGGAGTTACTCTTAAAGGGCCTGTGAGCAGACTTACTTGCTGATGGACTCACTCACACTGAGCTCCAGTGCTGATGCAGCAGCTTGAAAAGTGCCAGGGATATAGGGGGAGGAACTGACTTGTTTTGGCTCCAGGATGAGGGCTGGAGGGGCAGCTTTCTCCCAGACAGAAGTGCTATCCAAAGCCAGTTTCTTTGTTAAGCCATCCCCTTTCCAGTGTGCAGATGCAGGTGGGAGTCATATCAGAGTCTCCATCAACCTAGCTAACACTGTTGGCCCTGCCCTGGTGATTCCCTGAGACCCCATCCCACCCAACTTGCAAGTCCACCCAAGTCACTTCCAGTGGCTTTTGCAAATAAACGGGCTTTTGCATCTTGGCTCATGTTGCTGACTTTTCTAAAATACCTCAAAGGTTCACAAAACCCAAACAAGCAGCATTAGGCTGTGACATTCACTGTACCTCTTACTAAGTAGCCTTGAGTCTGGCACTAGCAGCAGCCGGCCTCAGGTTATGACTTATTTTCCCCCAGGCAATTTCAGGCCCAGCATAGATAGCAACCACATGCAGATTGTTTTGTGGCTCATTCCAGGAGGTCCTGGGGGTTAGCACACCTGGTGGCCAGCTTCAGAGCAAGCCAGAGCACTGCCCGGGTGCCTCTGTGGATGACACACCCAAAGGACAGACTGGGCAGGCACCAGAGCTCTGCTAAAGTGAAACCTGCTCTGTAGGGTCAGCCCTTGCACAACAGCTCCACTATAGCTACTACCAGTCCTCACAACGATTGATGTGCAGCAGCAACCAAGGCTCAACAACAACAGGAGGGCACACCAACCCATACAAGGGGCATATCTGCAGCACCCAGCTCAGGTGACCAGGGAGACTGCACCGCTGGGCCCCATAGGACACGTACTACATAAGGACACTCAGACTGAGAGAGACAGCAGTTTTACCTAATACATAGAAAGAAACTCAGGGAGACAGCCAAAATGGGGAGACAAAGAAACATGTCCCAAATGAAAGAACAGAACAAAACTCCAGAAAAACAACTAAACAAAATGGAGACAAGCAATCTACCAGACACAGAGTTCAAAATAGTGGTTATAAGGATGCTCAATCATCTCAGGGACAACTTCAACAATGAAACAGGAAATATAAAAATGAAGATAGAAAACAAAAAAGAGCCAGTCAGAAATGAAAACTATAATAACTGAAAGACTACGCTAGAGGGAATCAACAGTAGATTAGATGAAGCAGAGGACTGAATCAGAGATTTAGAACATAAGGTAGCAGAAAACATCCAATCAGAATAGCAAAAAGAGAAAAGAATCCAAAAAAATGAGAATAGTATAAGAGGCTTCTGGGACAACATCAATCATACCAACATTCACATCATCAGGGTACCAGAAGGAGAAGAGTGAGAGCAAGGAATTGAAAACCTATTTGAAGAAATAATGATGGAAAACTTCCCTAACCTGACAAAGGAAATAGACATACAAACCCTGGAGGTGCAGAGAGTCTCAAACAAGATGAACCCAAAGAAGCCCACACCAAGACACATCATAATTAAAATGCCAAAGTTTATTTATTTTATTATTATTATTATTATTATTATTATTATTATTATTTTCTTTTAGCTGAGCCATCCTGCTACCTGTTGGCAGCTCAGCTTGGGCTGGGAATCGAACCGGGGACCCTGTTGCTCAGAGCTTGCACTCTTGAGTGAGCTCTTAGCCAACTGAGCCACTTGACCAGCCCTAAAATGCCAAAGTTTAAAGGCAGAGAATCATAAAAGCAACAAAATAAAAGCAGTTAGTTACCTACAAGGGACTGTCAGCTCATTTCTCAACAGAAACTTTGCAGGCTAGAGGGATTGGTATGGATATTCAAAGTGATGAAAAGCAAAGACCTACAACCAAGATAACTCTACCCAGCAAAGCTGTCATTTAGAGTCACAGGACAGATAAAGAGCTTCCCAGACAAGAAAAAGTTGAAGTAGTTCTTCACCACCAAACTAGTATTATAAGGAATGTTAGAGGAACTTCTTTAAAAAGAAGGAAAAAAAGATGAATAATAAAATGGCAATAACTACACATCAACAATTACTTTAAACATAAATGGATTAAATGCTCCAATCAAAAGACTTAGGGTGGGGTAAAATATATGGTGATGGAAGGAGAACTGACTCTGAGTGGTGAACACACAATGCAATATATAGATGATGTATTATAGAATTGTACACTTAAAACCTATATAATTTTACTATCCACTGTCACCCCAATGAATTTTATAAAAAATAATGTATTGGGTGGCTGAACAGATAAGAACACGAGACTCTTACATTTGCTGCCTACAAGAGATTTACTCACTTTAGAGCAAAAGCACACACAGACTGCAAGTAAAGGGATGGAAAAGGATATTTCATGAAAAAAAAAAGCTGGGGTAGCAATACATATACCAGACAAAATAGACTTTAAAACAAAGGCTATAACAAGAGACAAAGAAGAACCCAGTAATCACACTTCTGGGTATTTATCCAAAGAAACTCAAAACATTACTTTGAAGGGACATGTGCATCCATAGGTCCATAGCAGCATTATTTACAGCAGCCAAGATATGGAGGCAGCTTGGTGTCCATCAATGAATGAATGGATAAAGAGGAGATGGTACATATATACAGTGGAATATTATTTAGCCATGGAAGGGAATGGGTTCTTGCCATCTGCAACAACATGGATGACCTAGAGGGTGTTGTGCTGAGTGGAGTATGTCAGACAGAGAAAGACAAACGCCATATGATTTTCCTTATGTGTGGAATCTGAAGAACAAAATAAACAAAATACAAACTTATAGATACAACTTTATCTCCTCAGTGACAAGAAATCTTTGAAGGTTCCTCTCTGTGTGGAGGGTGGGAGGTAGGAGTGAGGGGAAGGCTTGTAGTAAAGGAATTTCACTGGAATGTAAAATAAATTTTCTCAGGAAGATTTGGAAAAAAAACTGTATGGATACAGAGATTATTTTGAGGGTTGTCAGATGGGAGGGATAGGTGAAAAAGGGGAAGAAATTAAGTACCAACTTATAGTTACAAAACAGTCATGGCGATGTAAAGTATAACATAAGAAATATAGTCAATATTGTAATAGCTGTGTATGGTATCAGATGAGTACTAGATTTATTGGGGTGATCACTTCATAAATTATATAAATGTCTAATCATATGTTGTACACCTGGAACTAATATTGTATGTCCACTGTAATGGAAAACTAAAAAAAAATAATGTAAAAAATTGCAGGATAATTACCAAGTAAAAAAAAAGATTATAAAATCCTGCTTGGGTTGAAGTTATGGTCACTGCTTTCTGGGATAGAGAAACATGTTGTGGTTCCAATGTCAGGTAAAAAGATCACATCGGCATCATCCTCTTTGTCACAATCACGATAACTGATATTTGAGTGTTCCTATGTCTCAGACCCTCATCTAAGTGCTTTGCGTGTTATCTCGATTAATCCTCACTGGGTTGGTACCCTTGTTATCCCCATTTGATAGGTAAGGGAGCTCAGGCAGAGGAACAGGAAATAACTTCACTAGGTTTACATGGCGATCAGTGACAGAGCTAAGAAGTGGGAAGGAAGCCGGTTAGCGTTGGTTTGCTGCAGTTCTCCGTGCTGGCTGCACATTAGACTCTCTTGGAGAGCTTTTAAAAACCACCACCGCCTGGGTGCCACCCCAGACCAATTCATTAGGAATTCTTGGTGGCCTGAGCTTTGGATTTTATAAATCTTTCCAGGTTATCCTAACATGCAGACATGATTGAGACTATGGAGAGTGCATCATTCATTTCTGTTGCTGATATTCTATCCGGTGAAACATATTGGGTTTTGTTTAGTGTTAAATAGAGGTATTCTGAAAAATCTATTTGCAGCAAAACCCGTGATTTGGAGTATGTACTCTTTTCTCCTCTCATGATTGGACAAATGGGAGGAAATGTCTGCATAAAAACCAAACCAGAACATGTCATGTGAGTGTACATTATTATTACTTGACACTTCTACTATTTTTACCAGCTATTAGCTATATAAACTTCTCAGACATCATTTTGTTCGGGGGAGAGAAAAGGACAATCATCCATTTTCTTTTTCTTTCATGTTTGTCCTTACAATGAGAAAAAACTGGACCAAAGTGTAGGCAATGCATGCAAGGAGAGCTATAACCAAATCTTGATTTGCTTCCATTACTGTATTAAATCTCGCCCTATGTAAGTGTAATGTGGTTGTGAAGAGCACCAGCTCTGGGGTCAGGCTGCCCAGTTCAAATTCTCACTCTTGCCAATGAAGAGCTGGGTAACTATAGGCAAGTTGCTTAACCTCGTTATGACTCAAGTCCTTTATTTGCAAAATGGGAAAAATAGCAGTGCCTACTTCCTAAGGTTATTTGAGGTTTGAACGACAC